TCTTTTTTTTTTTAAATATATTTTATTGAGTTTTTACAGAGAGGAAAGGAGAGAGATAGAGAGTTAGAAACCTCGATGAGAGGGAAACATCGACCAGCTGCCTCCTGCACATCTCCTACTGGGGATGTGCCCACAACCCAGGTACATGCCCTTGACCGGAATCGAACCTGGGACCCTTCAGTCCGCAGGCCGACGCTCTGTCCACGGAGCCAAACCGGTCAGGGCTTCTAACAGCCAAATTGATGGGGCGATAGGTTGTGACCTTCTGAATCTGGCTTCGCCCACTTAAAGCGCAGCGCCTTTGAGCCTCATGGCGTGGCGGTGGGCGTCCGTGTGGCGGTGGGCGTCCGGGTGGCGTATTTCTTGTCCTTGCCAAGTAGGCTCACCCATGTGTGCACTGCTGTGTACCGCTCACCTGATGACGGATACTTGGGCTGTTCTCAGTTGTCGGCGATGATAAGTCGTGTGTCTTTAAACCTGCGAGCAGTTGCCTGATTCAAACCCCTGCCTTCTGACCCCTCGACCTTCCAACCCCCCAGAGCCCCTGGCCAGAGGAGCACGGGGGGGAACCGCGTGGAGGAGCCCGGAGGGAGGCACGCCCCCACGGCCCCGGGTGGAAAGGGGTGCCGCCCCGCCCGGGTTCGGACCCCAGCTCTGTCCTCTGCAGCTGTGTGACCGCAGCCAAGTGACGTCTCCTCTCTGTGCTCAGATTGTCTCGTTTGGAACAGAGAAGGGCCAGCCCCCCGGCCCCCAGGGCTGCTGAGGAAATGGATGACTTAAGGCACGTGGTGGATTAAGGCACACGCTGTCCCAGGGAGTGCTTCTCGTGTTAATTTTCATTTTTTTCAACAAATATTGACACTCCCTCTGTGTATGCCAGGGTCTTGGATATTGGCAATCAGGAAAGACCCCCCTCCCCACCCCCTCACCCCCCAAAAAATCTCTGGCTTCATGGACTTGATATGCAAGTGAAGAAAGGCAGACACTCAGTGTGATATGGAAACCAGAGGTGACAGGTGGCTTGGGAAAGCAAGCAGGGGGCGGGGGGAGGGCGTGAGGTGGGTTCAGTTGTCAACAGGGCGACAGGGGAGGCCTCAGTGACAAGGTCTTTGTTGGAGTAAAGACCTGTGAGGATGCCAGTCACAGGCCTGAATGGAAGACAGCTCAGGCCGTGCAAAGGCCCTGAGGCAGGACTCCGCCTGGAGTGTGGCGGCCAGGAGGTCAGTGTGGCTGGAGCTGAGTAAGCAGGGCCAGGGAGGTGTTGGCTTTGCAGTCACCGTGAGGGCTTTGAGCGGAGGAGGGACCAAAGCCGCCTTGGGTTCTGGCACCCCCTGGCAGCGGCGGGGCGAGAACTGACCAGCTGGGCTTCGCAGTCACCAGTCACCGTGAGGGCTTTGAGTGGAGGAGGGACCGAAGCCGCCTTGGGTTCTGGCAGCGGCGGGGCGAGAACTGACCGTGAGGGCAGCATGGAGGGAGGGAGATCAGTAAGGAGACGACAGCCATAGCCCAGGAGAGAGGCAAAGGCAGCTTTCAACCCTCACCAGGTTCCCTCCAGGGAGGCCTCCCTTTCCTTCTCCAGATGAGGACACGGAGGCCCAGAGAGGTTAGGCTACGTCTCCAAGGTCACACAGCTGGTTGGTAGCAGAGCTGGGGTTCCGATCCGCATCTGTGCGGCTTCAGCCTATCTTCCTTCCCTACTGGGCGGGCAGGGCCGCCTCTGGAGTGGGTGACTGAGCCCCGGCCGCCAGCTCTGGCACCTGAGCCGGGACCAGTTTATTTATTGCACACCCGCTCTGTGCCAGGCACCGGGGGTAAGACACTGAATGAGACAGACACACTGTGTCCTAGAGGCAGAGGGAGGGGTGGTGGCTCAAGGACAGCTATGGACTGAGGCATCCTTTGGAGACTGCTGTGTGGCCTTGGGGAACTATATTAACTTCTCTGGGCTCCATTTCTTCTGGCACAAAGTGCTGCTCCCAATACCCACCTCCCGGGGTTCTGTGAGGAGCCTGATAATGCATGTCCTTGGCATAGAATTTCCATAAAGGTGGCTCCCCTACCCCCCACCTTCACTGCTGGGGCCAGAGGGGAGTCAGACAGGGTCTGAGGCCTGAGGAGGCCATAGGAGTGGGCAGGCCGAGCCGACGCAGGGCCTTGAGTTCCGGGCTGAGGAGCTGTGGCCATGCAGCAGGGAGAGAATGGAGGCCAGGAGACGAGGGAGGAGGTTGGGTGGAGGGTCGAGGGGACAAGGAGAGCCCGGAGCTGGACTGGGGCAGTGGGGCCGGAGAGGGAGGGCCAGGGCCGGGCGGACTCTGGATTGGGAGGCAGGAGGGTGGACGCGCTGGGCCATTCTCAGAGTCTCTCGGGTCCTGGGGTCCCCTGAGCAGGGGCGGCCGGGCACCTGCTAGGAGGCTCAGTGGGTGC